TCGGCGAACTTTTCGCGTTGTATTTGAACGAACTCCTCCTAGGGAATTCATCGGATCTGCTTCAAAATTGGTCAGTACAGCGCTATTTTTTTTTCTAGATCGCAAAATGTCCATAATCCACTCTTTTGTGTTCCTCCTATGCGCTTTGTCCGATTCGCACAAAAGTTTTCACGTAGCATCTGGGGACCGTCCTTATAAAAAAGTAATTCAAAGAATTTTGATATTTCAAAAAATAAGCGTGTTATAAAATTAGCACTTCCTGTAGATTTTACAGATAAAACTGCAGTTTTTGCACAAAAGTTCTGGTCTTGTAATAGACATTCCCATAGTTTTGCGCTCAGCTCATTTTTTTGTTGAGGTGTATTTTACAGACATATTACACAGCAAAAAATAATTTGCAAGCCTGAACATTGACACAACATTTAATGTAACTAACGGTGGCTCGGCTGTGGGTTAGCAAACTGAGCCTAAAGTTGCTGCTGCACAGCTAACATGCAGAGAGGACCAGACAGTTTCCCAGAGCCAGCAGCTCCACACTGCTCTCCTGCTGCTGTCACTGTCATCACAACAACAGCCAATCAGGGCAAACTACAATGGAAACTGAATGTTTGTGTGGAGGGTAACATTACCTGACACACAAATCCTGGCTGGAATGGCTAACAACTTAGTGTTGGCTGGCTCCATCCCATCCACTTTGTTAGATTCCCATTTACAGAGCCAGGGCAGTGTACACATACCACTTCTCTTCCACTGCACACAGAGACAAGATATTCACTCCATTTAAACGAAGTGGACTGGATTAGAACTGCATTACCTACAATCCCTTAGCTATCCTTTATTAAATGTTTTTGGAAAAAGCCTGTCTTACTGCAAATGTACAAACCGGAAATGCATTAGACTGTACCGCCCTACAAAGGCAAACATTTAGTCACAAATTGTCAAAGTGTTCTTATTTTATCACAGAGGTTTAATATTCATTATTATAATATACATTGTTTATTTTTTATTATTAATAATAATACAATTCAACTGCAGAAGTTTAGAATCTTTATCAAAGAGAAGATACAACGCGGGTCGCTGCCAGGTGCGGTGGTGAAGAATGAACAACATTTCCCACAAGGCTTTGCGCTGTCAATAAGGAAATGGCTTAGGTACACATCTCTTCCTGAAATGAAAGTGGCGCAGCTTTTATTCTCGACAGGTTTCGTTGTCGTTAGTCGTCTGTATAGGTGGGAAGTGTTGTTAATGAGTTACACGAATACGCGCCATAAACTGGGGAAATATTCAAACTTTTATGCTAGCAGTAACTCGGGACGACAGTTCCCTTAACTTACTTCATTTGAAAAACAGGCAAACCTAACCTTCGTAGAGACGAGGCGCACTGCCGAAACAAACATGGAGGCATTTAAGGGATGCATAAACCACTCTCTTTAATTCGGCTTACTTAATTAGTTTTCAGTGTAGGAATAAATCGCCCAGTAGCAGTGACAGTGCAGTTTGCTGAAGGTCGAGCTGAAGATACCGTGCTCAGTGACGCGTTGAGTAACGAGACGTGTCCCGTGAACCACCGCAGTTACCTTTGCCACGGACTTTTAACTCGGTAACTTCATCACTTTTTAAAAAGAGAATAAAAGTTTTGAGCTACTTTAACCCTGTCAGAACTCTGCCACTGTCCCGCAGGAGATCGGTGGGAGGATGCTGTTACACACTCTGACTCCAACCCCCCGAACTGACTAATGTGTCCCCCTCCCACTCTGCATCACATATTATTATATATTATATTATATTAATATCTCCAGCAGCAGATGCAGCGGGCTGCTGGCCCTTCATCTCCCAGCTGTTCCTCCCCCTCCCACTGCTTCCCCCTCAGCCACCGCAATGCAGCCCCATGTGGAAGTGAGAGTCCAGCTGAGCCAGAGAAACACGAAGTGAGAGCAGATCATTCTGTGAGTGTATTGTGTGTGTGTGTGTGTGTGTGTGTGGAGGGGGGGGGGATCATGAGATCAGACAATAACACCTACATGCTGTGGAGCTAACGTCAGTAGTGCAGAGTGGGAAGTGTAGTCAGTGTTACACAGCAGCTGTGGACAGGGTAAGGCACATTTCTGATGATAGTCCAACGCTCAGATTTTGATCAAATATTCGGTCTGATGTGATGTTGCAAAGTTCTAGTAGTTTTTCTCTTTTTCAAAGGACAAGTTGTGATGGTTTGAAGGAATTTAGGGTTATTTTCACACACTTTTATAATTGTAGTGTCTCATATTAATTGTACTCAGTTAACATTTAAGTATGGCTTTTATCCATTGTAACTGACAGATGGATTTGGTGCATACAGGCTAGATTTGTATCCACCTAGGTGCCATATAGCATTGTTTCAGCAGCATTTAGTTGTGTAGTTAGATTGTGCTACATACTGAAATATAGTAATAAACAATGTAAGTCAGATGTGTAAAAACCCTTTGTACCAATACCTACCTGTTGTTGATGTCCTTTGAGCTGCAGTGCTGACTCAGACTGAGAGTGATGCAGTCTTTGTAACCACTGTCCTGCCACACTACTCACTTGGTTCTGTTGATTGTTTTAGCCTACAGATCTCTCCAGGATGAGGTCCATCGTGAGCTTCTACGTATGCTACCTGCTGTGCCTGGGCCTGGGCCTGGCCTGCGTGGTGTGCGTGTGTTATTGGAACCACCGGTGGCGTGGAGGTTTCAGGTGGGACGGCACGGCCCTGCAGTTCAACTGGCACCCAGTCCTGATGGTAACGGGTCTGATTGTGCTGTACGGCAACGGTGAGTGCCTTTTAAAATTGAGATCCTACGGAGTTTCATTTCTGTTTCTCACTTGTGTTCTTCCTCATGGCAGTCTGTCAGACTGTATTAAGGTAATTACACACTACAGGTTTCAGAGACCTAGGGTATAATTTGATGCGTGATTTCAGTAGCATAAATGTGAGCTAACGTCCACAGTGCCACACCTCAGTGATTGCAGCCAGACTTTTCTTTTGATGTAAAGTCACATTTGAAAGAAGGTGCCTTTCAGCAAGGAACTGTAATGTATCTCCACCATAGCACATATTGGCTACTGTCTCATGTGAACATCATCATCATCATCATCATTATCATGATTCAGTTCCAGGTAGGAACTAAACACTTCTGCTGAATAAAATCACAAAAGAATACATTTGCATACATGGGTGGAACCCATACTGTGTCATTATTGGTATTTCTATTGTATTTGACGACATCTGTCTTTTCCAGAACTCTATCTCTAATATGTGACATTTTGCATAGACTACCTCATTAAAATACATTCAAAGACATTTCTAAGGGATTCTCGTAGACATTGATTGTAATTATAAGTGACCAATAGACACACCATTTAGCGTTTCCCATTCACACTATGACATACCGATCACTTGTCTAATATTACATAATGAGGTTTTATAGGTGGTTAGATATGAAGTCAGTGGGCCTCAGTAACCTCCATTAGATTCAAATAGAAGTGTATCTGTTCCGTCAGACAGCTGTGAGAAAAACACGACTGAAACTCTGCATACCAGAACTGTGTTCCCGCTCACGCTGATGACACCTGGCTTTATACGTTTTACAATACATACCGAAGAGGCAAATTCAATTTAAGTCTTATTTGTCATTTTAATTATAAAATGTACAGTTGAAATGGAACATAGTTTTTTTCTGCAGCAGGATATCAAATCTGAGAAAGCATCCAGTCTTTACTGTGATGGGTGCATCAAAGGCTGAGTGCAATACATGTTCTGAGTATGTTCAAGCACAGACACAAATATTTAATTCCAAAACATCAAAGCAAACTAGTGTAATCACTGGAGTGACTCAGTATTGGACAGAGCTGGATATACAGTAGATACAGGTTTTGGTAGCAGGTACGTGTCTTGATTTTGTTTTTGTGTAACTGCTGTAACATCTCCTTCAGTGCCATACAGTGCTCCGTCTCACACAACTGACGATTCTCACTGACCAATCTGTGATCTGCAGTGTTTTCAATTCACCGTTTCCTATGATTTCCCATAATGCAGCTCAGTTGCATCTTCAGACTGCCAAGTAATTGCCCGTGTCTTGCCTCTTGCATTTCTAAAGCTGGTGGCTGGTGGCTGGTAAATGGCTGCATTTAGATAGCAGACGTTATACGACTACTGTACACAAATGAACATAAAAATACATGTAGCATCTTTTCTTTTGTTGCCTCCTCTCTGCAGGAGCTGTGTTGTACCGCGTCCCCCTGACCTGGGGTCAGAATAAACTCCCCTGGAAGCTGCTGCATGCCACACTGATGCTCCTCGCACTGGTCCTGTCAATCGTGGGCCTTTGTGCCGTGTTTGATTTCCACAATGCCAAAAACACTCCCAACCTCTACTCCTTGCACAGCTGGATTGGGATCGCTGCTACAGCTCTTTTCGCCATACAGGTACACAGCTTTACATGCAGAAGCAGAACTGCTTCAGCCAATAAGGTGGATGTGAGGGTTTCTTTCTCATTCTGAGACATGATAAAGTTTTGTTTACCTGCCTTTGTGTTCCCTGTATCTGTGAATGTCTGTCCCTGCATCCATCCATCCAGTGGGTGGTGGGTATGGCTGGCTTCCTCCTGCCCTGCTCCCCCATATCACTTCGTACACTGCTGAAACCAGTACATGTGTGGCTGGGAGGCAGCATACTGTGGCTCAGCATCGCTGCCTGCATCTCAGGAATCAACGAGAAACTCTTCTTTGTTCTGTGAGTGCCATATTTAATATAGTCCTTAAAGCTACAAGGAACGTTATTCTGTGTTGACTCTGGCGGCCCCTGTGGACAAAAGCAGTAGTGTTTCTACCACCTCGGTTCATTGAGTTCAAGGCTTTTGAAACCTGACTGAATCCACCCCGTTGGCAGGCTTTAAGAATAACTGTATAGAAGTACACCATTATCTGTACCTGCACCAACTAAATTATTTGTTTATATCTGTACTCAGAATGGGCGGGGCCTAAACAGGACATGGGTGCTGCTTAAACCAGAAGTGGGCTGGACTCACTTGTTCATTTAAACTTTAAACTGATAACATTGTCCTGTTAAATGTGTTTTTCCACAGCAAAGAGAACGGCAATGGAACTCAGTCGTATGCTAACCTCCCAGCCGAGGCTGTGTTAGGAAATTCATTAGGAGTTTTGATTGTGGCCTTCGGCTTGGTTGTCCTAAAGATTTTGTCCAACCATAACTGGCAGCGACCAGACTCCAGGCCCGAGGACATGGCTTACACGGTGAGAACAGTGCAGTTGCTATGCAGTAAAAGAGATTAGATGATTTATTTTCACCATGTATTTCATAACCATCCTTATCTACTCTCCTCCACAGCCACTGCTTCAAGAAGAAAATGAATGAAGAAAATTTCAGCGCATCAGACCCGTCCATGCAAAATCAGTTTGGTAACTGTAGATGGTGTGTGGCCTAAAAAATGTTTGTTAAACAGCATAAGTTCTATTTTGGATGTACAGGCAGCTGTGAGAATTATCTGTGTCTGTTGTGGATGTCAATATTTATTTGAAATGATATTTAAGATTGCTTTTGCGCCAAAGAATAAAAATTCCCATGATGCACTGGAGCTTAGTGTGGCACAATTAATTGAAAGTTGAGTTTCTTGTTATGATTATATAGAAATAAATAATGGTCATTTTTCAACATTTTCATTCATCATTGTTGTAGGCCTTAAGTGATTCTTCCAGTCTCCAATTGTACAAATGTGTAGCCATTACACACAATTGGTTTGTCTTTTCCTCTATTTGCCAAACCTCAATAGCGAGGACTACTAGTCTTTAGTTTCCTTACCTAGGTTAGCTATAGACTCTTAAATCCCAAAAGAAGAAACATGCAGTAGTGTCTGGACAGATTTGTTTGCTTTCACCACTACTGGCAAACTAGCCTCATAAAGCTCAAATGTGTTCCTTTTTCAAAAAAGATAAATGATGGTAAAATAATCTACAACTCAAAGTTCAATTTCCTATTGTTTCCCAGTGCTTTTGGCCATATCCCACTGCCTTCATTAGCAAATGGATCATAACTGGTTGTCCTATATGTTATCACATAACCAAAGTTCTGCATGTATCATCATCTGAGCAAATGGAATTCACTGAAGAAAGCCAGAAAATAGAAATAGAAGACACCTTGAGTCTTTTTTACCACAGATATGTGTTCCTAAGGTGAATCTCCAGGCAACAAAATGTGTACAGCTGGCTTCCTATTGTTTAATGCTCGACTGAGATCTGTGATCAAATGTTGCTTTTCCAGTTAACTTAATGCTGACAGAGTGCAACCCTTTGCTTACTGCTTTCAGACTAAGTCTTAAACTAATCTGGAAATTGAAATGCTCTTACCCCTCATGATTCTGTATTCCACATCGGCCCATGTAGAGCAAACAGCTGCAGAAAAATACTTACTTTTCCTTCATTTGCAGTGGTTTCCAGAACCATCAGCATCATTAATAATGCACTTTGATCAATAAATCATCTGAAGAATGATAAAAGAATCTGTCAAAATGCCGCTCATCAGATTTTGGGCCATTTGCTTGAAGTGAGTCTTGTTGGAAATAGCTTTCATCTTCTTCCCAAAACTAATGAACAATCTGGCATCCGTTTTGAAATTGGTTTACTATGAAAGGATTTTCATATTTGAGCTTCAACTCTACTCTGTCATTGAGACTCAAAACAATGAAACTGTACAGCTAATACCATTGTTTAATATTTCCCTCAACTATGAGGTGGAATCTGGCTGGATAGTCAGAACATACCGGGTGTGATTCAGATGATACTCTTCCATGACACTTCCTGGTCAACCACACACAAGCTGTCCAGAGATTGCCATCACAGTTAACCTCAAATCATTGCTGAAGTAATATTTTTGTCAAAACCACAAAAGACAGAAGTAGAGAAAACCCCTGGAGGAAGTCTACAGAATATGTACAGCACAGGGCCCAACATAGAACTGTGAGAGTGAAACCACCACAACACATCAGATGTCTCACTGTCTATGCATTAAAGGGACTCTGTTGGGCTACAGCAAGACCGAGGGTACATTCAGAACTCCCATTGTAATGGAAAGCAGCTCGGAAGGCCCTGGAGGAGGTCTGGTGCTTGGTTGTAACCTTGAAGGACTCAAGGATCATAACAACACGTGGTAATTCTGCAAATGTATTGATGAAAGGTGTTTGACAGAGTTTGGCAAATATATATTTGCTTCCTTGTAGAAAGTTTGCTCAAAGGATTGATAACACTTGTGGTATCACATGAGTGGTATGGCAAATATGAAGCTGCAGCCGAGTAGCTTAGCTTAGCTTTTCCTTAAATCCTCGAAGACTGGAAACTAGCCTGGTTCTTTCCCACGGTAAAAATAATGTGTCTGCCTACTAAAAGTTACCAATTAACACATATCTTGTTTGATGAATCCCTAGCCACGCTGACAATGCTAACATGAAGGGTTTTAGCAGGTATAATGTTTACCATGTTCCCAATCTTAGTTTACCATGTTAGAATGCTAACAGGTAATGTTTTGCATATTTGGTCATAATCTTGCACACATTAAAAGTTTGACCTGATTTTAACGCTAGATGAAAGATTAAGGAATCTCCAAACATATTACATTCATCCTGAGGCGTTGTTGTCTGTACCAAATAATGACAATCTATAATTGTTTAAATATTTCAGTGTTGGACCAACCAAACAGCAGGATTATATGATGGATTTTTTATTTACTAGTTACTTCCTGGAACTGTCGTCATTGTGGGGTTGCCCGGCAACCAGTTTAGACTCCAGCTACTGGCCCACCTTTTCCTGTCTCTTCATATTTAATGAACAGACATGAAAAGAGGTATTGATCTTCTCATCTAACTTTAGGGAAGAAAGTGAATAAGCATATTTCCTTAAATTGGATGCAGAAAATCAGAAACTCAGCACCGAAAGGATGCATGCAGGAGATCAAACCTAACTCCTTAATTCTGAGTAGGTGAAATATAATGTCAAAGGTGCGATGCTTTGTGTCACATGTCCCCCCACACCTCAGCTGTGCAGACATGAAAGAGGGGAAGGTGAAATGAGTTCATGCAACACTGATCGCAATCAGTTGCTGCTTGATGTGTCATTTGTCTCAAAAAGGAAAGGACCGGCAGCAGCAGTGTAGTTACAGTCTGCACTGCAGCTGCAACGGCCGAGAGTGAACGTGGAGGAACGCGTGATCATCAGTGAAAGCTACAAGTGGAAAGAAACCTGAAATAAACGACATCACTTGTGGTAGGGAAGTCACACAACAAAGCTAACCATAGCCAAACCTGTTTTTCATGTCTGATATGAGTGATATCCCTTCAAGACTCTTCACATGACTCAGAAGAGCCAGAAAGACTTCCGCCAGCACTTTGTTCTGTGGTCTTAATCTGCACCGTCCTGTTTCAGACAACCACAGTTATCCTCACAACACACACTGATTTATTTCCTGCTGTTCACAAAATAACAACACACTGCCAAAGCTGCACCGCAGTCACTAATGATCTGTCTGGTTTATGTTGTGAGGAAAAAGCCTTGGAAGAGAGAGTGACCTAGCACATCATTTTATGCATGACATGGAACAGCAGCTGAATGTTTTACACCTGGCCAGAGCGCCACAAAGTTTGCAAAGAAAAAGTGTCCTGTCCTGTTTTACACAAGGTGGCAGCAGAGTTGAGTTTAGTCCGCTGAAGTGCATGCTTGGGATCAGTGTTCAATCATAGGTCATGAACAAATTTGCTACCAAACAGTGCCAGATGGAGAAGACCTTCTACCCATGACAGGTCCAAGTTACCTTCATGCACTTTATGACACATCGTTGAGGACAAATATGAAAAAAGTGTTGTAAACCCGCAGAGATATGACATAATAGATAGAGAGTATGGAGAGTGTCAACAATTCATAGTAAAGGTGAATTTGTTTTGTTCCACATGTATAATATGATACAGTTGCTGTGCATTTCCATAATAAGTGAATACAAATATAAATTAGCTACATGTCTGATGGACATTTGTTCCTCCTCATTTTGAAGTGCAGCTCTGTGCCTGTTATTTCTAAACTGAGGCAGAAACCAGAATAAGAACACACTCCATTAGTTTAATTATCATCTTCCAGCCAAAAGCACTTAAAAATCCAACAAAGCATATTCAGAATGTCTTATTGTTTATACTGTGTTATAATGAGTTTAGAGGGAGAACAAGGAATCATACTCCTACTTTGTTTTCTTTGCACCCTCCGCTGTAGACTGATGGAACATAATTACCTTACAGTTTGCATTGCCAAGCTGATTTAAAAACTGTAATTATATTGTAAGGTTAAGTGATGAGGTGTTTTTGTTCAACATTAAGAAGGATCATTTCCGTTTTTAAAGATCAGTGCATTGTGGCAGAAGAAAAGTAATCCAGTGAGGAAATGAGGAAAGAAAACTAAGAGATTATATTGTAGCCCTATGAAAGGATGGTCAAAAGCAGCTGACTAGCTATGCATTGTTATTTTCTTTCACATGAACTATTATAAAAATATTAAGGGCCAGTGTGTAACATTCAGGAGGATATATTAGCATAAATGCAATATTCATTAGGTATGTTTTCATTAGTGTATAATCACCTGAATATAGAAATCGTGTTTCTGTTACCTTAGAATGAGCTGTTTTTATCAACAGATGTCGTGGGGTCACGTTCCATGGAGTCCGCCATGTTGAATTGCCATGTTTCTACAGTAGAACAACCAATCAGAGCTACGAAGACGCTTTGGGTTGGAGGCTTGAAGATAGGTGATTGTTTAGTCTTATTCACAGGTACCAAAGCGTATTTGAGACCCTGGAAATGAGACTCAACAATCAGCTATCTTTCTGGGATCTGATTGGTTGTTTTTGTCCAGGCCTGCTGGATTCTTGCAAATGCCATCAGAGGAAGAGGAACCTGATTCATTTCACAGATTATCTGTCTCATGCACTACTGTCAGAATATACTTGTGTCAGCAAATATGACAAAACATTATTTTTATAGAAATAAATACTGCAGCTTTAATAGACATCTTTAGCTTATTTTTTTCAGTTTCCTAAAACAACTAGGCCCATATTTATGTACACTTAAACTTTAGATAAGGTACGGAAATCCCATTCAAAAACCTATTGTTTCTGCAGTAAATATATGTTCCTCTATTCACCCTAGTTTTTATGGTTGCGGTCAACTCGGTCAACTTTTTTCCGACGGTCTCCGAATGCACCATTGTCAGAGCGCTGTGTTCAGGTCGGATCCGTTATTTCCACGTCCCGGGCCATCTCCGGTGAGGTCATCGTAAAGGTGGGCGTCAGTACGTGGGCGGGGCCACCGCAGCTCCGGCCCAAAGCTGAGATTTACATGAGAGGGAGTGAAAGTTTAGAGAGGAGCAAGGAGAAGAAGCAGCTGAGTTTGGGCTTCGGTGTGTCTGATACCGCAGCCTGCAGGAGCGCACAGCCTCTGGAGCCAGGGACAGTCCACAGCTGCGACCACCAAAGTAAGTTCAACCTCACAACATGCAGAATGTAAAGGATCAAAGCTGTATGGTCTTTGTTATTGAGGCTCATTGTTAT